CTATCTATCTATCTATCTATCTATCTATCTATCTATCTATCTATCTATCTATCATCACCTTCTTCTGGGATTTAAAAAAAAATCCTAATCCAATTTGATGCCCTGACATTTCATGGAGATCTCCCATCCCAGCACTAAACAAGGCAGGCCCTGCTTAGCTTCCAAGGGCAGACAAAGTCATTAGGATGGTTGAAAGCCCAACATATCTGCAAGTCAACAGAGGAAGGAAGTATGTTAGAGGAGGAGGAGGAGAATTAATTAAATGTATATGCCATCCAACTGCCAATGACTAAAATCAGTCTATTTTTTAAAAGAAAATATTGTAGAAAACAGAAGTGCAGAAAAAAAAATACATGAAAACAAATAAATAACATCCTACAAATTAATTAATATTATGAAATTGCACTACCACAAAGAGGAAAACTGTCAATTCAACAGATAAACAGGAAAAAACCCTTTAAAATGAACACCATTCACAGAAACCACCTAATTCTATCATATATTCATTCCATCATGTAATAACAATGCATAAAAGTTTATCTACTCTTGTAAAATATTATGAAATCTGTGCCCAGGGGAAACGATTGTGTCATTTTTTGACACAAAAAAAATTTTGACACAAAAAATCGCCTTTTCAAAAATGGCAAACATGGGTTTCTTGGATCCCGTCTTTGATACCTGGGTTCATAGTACTTTTCCAATCACTCAATATAATTCTCTTGGCAATTCCCCACACATGATATAACCAATACTCAGAAATGGTCAGATTGCACAATTTGGGGATATAATTCAAAATAACGTTCTCTTTTCTCTCTTGGAGACATTTACCCAGGGATCCTCTTGCCTATGTTACAACGTTTTTCTGGAAAGAGACCAAAACTAAGTTTCATTTGAAGAAAATTCCTTTTCCCCCTCCCTTCCTTTATATTTATCTTGATTCCTGGCCCATGCAGTGAAATCAACATGCGTTAGATGAAAAAATGATAAATGGAGCATTTTCACTCCTTCTGGAAAATGTTCCGATCGGCTATAGCAAACGGCGTGAGTTTAAGATAACTTTTAAGACTTATCCACGATTTCTTGTTTGAATTCAGACTTCCCGTTCAAAGGCAGTCTATCTGAGAAAACCAGTGGCTGCGGACCAACTAAGACACTTATTAATAACCCCCCCAAAAAACATCTGGTTGGAATAATAGGATGCAAATTATTTTTTTTATGAATTAATTAAATGCATTTCTATCCCACCGCAATCAAAACGATTCCTGATGGCTTATGTAGAATTGGCTAGACTTCCGTTCTGTTCCAGCCACATTCTCATATTCAGAGCTTAATCCAAACTTTGGAAAGTAAGAATTATTATTTTTTTTTAGGGGGAAAAAAAGATCAGGCATGGCGTTGGAAGCCTGAGGGTTAGGAGAATGGAGAGAGATGACTGATTGAGGCAACAGTGTTTGATTTGCCAGAATAAGCACATTTATCATTCACATTGTGAAAATATAAACTGGGTTTATATTCGGGGTGTGCATTTGGGGGGAAGCGCTAGGGTAGATTGAAAGATCTTGACTGAGAGATGCGTGGGTTATGCTCAATTAATTCTGTTCTAATTGTTATTTTGGTTATTCGTTACCTATTGTTCTCTCTCTCTTTCTCTCTCTCTCTCTCTCTGTTCCAAATGTTTATGGCATTGTTTTCTCTTTTATTCCACGTTTAATTCCTTGCTTTTATGTTTCCCTAAATTGAAAATCACCTAGAATTGTTCAGCAAATTGGGCAGCCGTATAAATCTAATAAACAAATGAATCAATAAACAGATAAATAAATGAATAAATTCCTCTAGCCGGCTCCTGTTCCATTATGCGCATCTGCCTTTCCTAACAGATGTGGTTTACTCCCAACAGGCGAGTAAAAGACGCCACAAATAAGCCATAGGGACTTGTCCATGATGGGTTTCCTGTTTGTCCTCTTTGAAGGCCTCTGTGGGAAGAATGTTTCCCCCCCAAGAACCCTGCAAGGTAGGTGGAATTGAGAGAGAAGTGGGTGGAGCCGCTGCAGGCCAGTGGGGGGCTCTGAACCAGTTTGGCCAGTTTGTGAGAACCGGTTAATTTTTTTCTAGGGTGGGGTTTAGCTTGGTCTCTGGTGGCATTGCTGTCCAGATTGACTAGTCCTCCTGAGAACCCCAGTGCAGGTCCTTCTGCTGGCCTATTCCCATAACAAAGATTGGTTTGACTGGATGATTTGATGCAGGCCCTATTACTCCTGATCCTGATAGGGAGGATTCTGATCTGGAACTGGGGCAAGGCCCTTCTCACGTATGCAGATGGTTACTGATGCAAAGCCAGAAGTTAGCCCGGTGAAGGAACAGCCAACGATCTTGAGAGCAGAAGAGTTGAAGCTTTGCAGAATCAGAACTTAGACTTCCTAGTTTCAGTTGCACCTGGGTGGAGAATGGAGAAGACTTGAGTATTTAAGGCTAATTCAGAAGGGTGATTCTTTCCTGAAACATTTTTGGGGAACAGCCTTTCCTTTGAGTCAACCTTGATCTCTGGACTGGATACACAACTTACTGTCTCGCCTGTTGAACCTTGATGGGGGAGACAAGCTGTTTGCTGGAACCAAGACTTTTGGTCTGAGTTGAATGTTGCTCGTGTGTAACCCTTGCAACTCTGATGGAAGGTGGAAGTATGATGGATGGCTTTACAACCAAGGATGATAGTAAGTGCAGTTGATTTACAACTTCTTATTAGGCTGGGAAACTGCTGGTTATTGTTGAAAAAGCTGCAGCAGATGGACTCATGGTCTGTCTTGAGAAATGGTGATCAATCCCCAATGTTTCCAGATGGGGTAGAGAGGGAGCGCTTTCCCCAGAAATTTAAGCCTTGGGGCTTGTGGGATCCCAACTCCCATAATTTCTCATAAGCACGAGCAAACGAAGCTGCAATCCAACAGATGTTGGGAAGAGCAGGTTGAACTCAACCAGTCTAGACAAGGCAGCTGGAAGCAAACAGGTGATGACAGAATAAGACATGTTCTTTACATGGTTTAAAAAATTAAATTAACATTCTTCTATACTCACAAGATATACATGCTCAAATCCCTACAG